GGGTAAGAAACCTTTAAAAAAAAAACTTACAAATGCTTTCTGAAATCCAGCAGCTTCAGCATATTGGCAGCCCACTGCCCCGTGGGACAATGGTTTTATTTGGCGTTAATGAGTTTCTGCTCCTTGTCTTGAGGCCAGCTAACTTACCAGGAGAGGCAGCTGGTGGGTGATGGAGCCAGGGAAGGCCAGCACTGCCGGGCAGAAACACAAACTCCTCCATGAGCCTCTCTCAACTCCAGCAGGTGCCTCTGCCACCTCGGCCGCCCTCCCTGCCCCTCGTCAGCCCCCACAACCCCCTTCTCCCATCCGGACTCCACCTCTGGTGCTGAGTGGCTTCACCTCTCCCAGTCTAATACAGCTCTTTATTCTCCTGAGGACCACTGCAAGTGCTCTGGCACATAACACAATCATTCGGTGCAACCTACTTGCAAGCTGCCTCTTAATTTTTTATTACTTACTCCATTTCTAATTATTTCTCCAGAAGTCTGTTCTGAAGCTTTGCATGTCATTGACACCAGACTAAACAGGCCTGTAATTGCCCAACTGTTCCCCCACACCCCATACATACATATTCTATATTCATGTGATCTTACCCCAGCTTTATAGGTTTCTCGGACATCCTTGCCAAGAGACCCGCAAATTTATGTGCCACTTCCGCAGGCATTCTGCAAGAGCAGTTCTTCACTACTTCAGTCTGCAGGAGCCATGCCTCTGCATGGGCAAGGTGACTTCCAATGCCTCCAACCCCTAACGCCAACTTGGCAGTGCTGCAGCCTCCTCCTTCCAGCACCCCGTCCTCTCTGCACAGCAGGGTGACCCTTTCCTTGCACAAGCAAGATGCAGAATTACCAGCAGCTGTAACACATGAAGACAGCCACAGACCAGAGAGCTGCTGTAGACCAAGAGCATCAAACACACGCATCTGCAAAACTGCCAGCCTGGCACACGAAGGTAGGCAGCCACAATACACAACAAAAGCAAAACATCTCCTTACTCTAGGTAGCGGCGAGGTTCCAGCTAAGTATGTGTTGCTCAGCTTGAAATCCTGAAACAAAACAAAAATCCAAACAAGCCCTTCCCTCCCCCCAATCGCCACTAACATTGAAACACAGGTTTGAGCTCGCAAACACTGGAGTACATCCTTAGAGGACTTCCAACCTTCTCGTTCAGCTCAATAACACTAAATGTCAGCTCATTAGCAAACTGCAAACACTAATACCTAAGACAAGAGACAGAGCATTTTATGATCAAATTTATTTAATTAAATTTCATTGACTGTTTTACTGTACGTAGGTCACACCAGAGACTGCCAAAGTAAACTAAACATTTTACATTCACTACAAGATTCTCTCAAATGTTCACAACTAGTCCAAAAACATGAAAGTTGCAGGGTCCCTTTCCCTCAGTTTGCATTAAGACTCACATTAATGACAACGGGACTCATATTCCAGCACCAAAGAGAGAACTGATCCCTTGGGTTCCCAGGTGTGCAGCCACCCTCCTGGCTACAAACACTGCTAAAATCATATGCATGTGTGTATGTGTGCGCATGTGTCTATGTATATTTACAAAACCAACCTCCTGATGGTACAGAGGACAAATAACCATTTAACTGCTAATCCAGAAAGGAAAAAAAGAAAAAATAGAAATTAATTTTGCAGCACGGAGGGTAGGAGGGTTCAGTTACAGAGGAAAGAGGTACAAATGCCCGCAGCCTGGCAGCCTCACCAGCGCCTGGCACCCGCAGCAGGCAGGCACATCGTCAGGGCAAGTCGTAGGACAGACCTGGCCTGCTCTGGAATTTGAGGACAACTTTTGTCACTGACCATAATGGAAATCAGATCGCTCCTTTTGTATGCAAAGTAGGTCCAAAATGATTCCAAAATACTGGAAAGTATGTGACATTATGAAGATAGAAGCTTAAGCAAAGCTTGCCCCACCAAGGTTTCTGGGGATGCTGCGAAGAAACCAGGCATTAATAGAACTTTATCTAACTAGTGCTTTTAAAATAATTTTTCTGATCTAGCAAGCATTTTGATAATATATATCTATGATATGCTCTGAATATTTCCTTAAAAAAATGCTGAAGACATTTTCCCTATTTGAGTTATCTACAGGTGGTCTTTATTTATACCATCTTTTCTTTTGTGTGTCTACTCCTAACAAATATCAAGAGAAATACGTCAGATGCTACAATTTACACTTTCATCATATCTGAAAGTATACATCTCTTTTAAAGTGTATTTTCAACATGAAAAGAGCTAAAATCACAATTATATTCCATTGCGTAATGTGTGTGAAATCAAGACCATTTGCATAGCTTCCAAAGTGAAACTCTGGAAAACAGGGATTTCAGTAACAGGAAGTATTACTTTTGGGAAGGGCTGTCATCGCCTTTCACTTTCACTGCATGGCCCAAGATATACTAGAAATATTCTACAAGTATTGTCAGTACCTTTGTCTAAAAAGTCAGCTTCTGGAAAATATCAAGTTGCAATTATTTTATAAATCACAAGCCATTTTTCTGTAATCTTGCCAATTTTAATGAAGAAAAACATTAGCATTTCAATGTACAAAAGTCCAATAAAACATGATTTTTTTTTTTTTCTTTTAAATCAGTGAATGGGTAAAGTTTGGGTTAAACTTATTCAACAGTAAAAGTCTTCCAATTTCCACTAATAGAAATTTTTTTTGGATTTGACTATAGGATAATGATAATTCAGAAATAAATAGCTATAAATACATTCATTGTTCCTATTCCAAAAATAATCACACAGGGAAGACACAAAACTGAAATTAACTTCTTTGAATCTGTTTCTTTACAATGAGTTGTGGGCAAGTCATAGCAGAGTGACTCAAGACATGGAAAAAAAAAAAAAAAAAGAGAAGGGAATAAAATGGTCCAGAATTTCCCGGTGTATGCAAAAAAAAAAAAAAAAAGAGTAGGGAATAAATTGGTCCAGTATTGACATTCATGAAACATACCAGTTAGCCATAATTCTGCAGTTAATTCATCCTTTAAATGACACTACTCAGTTGATTTTTATTTGCTTCGGGTATACATAATGAAAGCAGTTTCCTTTGAATCTTTGCTCAGGACAGGTATAGTACCCTGGAGACACTGTAACAACCCCCTTCAGTATGCATGTGCGTATATATAATTATATACAAATAATCATGCATCCACACACACATTTGTATATCAACACTGCATGTGACAGTTAAATCCATCATCATTCATCATTGGCAGCACTTGTTCCTCTGACTTGGCCTTGATTACGTAACTGTGGAGAAAGAAAATACACAATTAAGCATTAATAACAGTTTCCTCAAACAGTAAGTTCCAAATAGGCAGTTTTACTAATCTCCAGGAAAAATAGGGCAGGGCAGTCAAAACATCACCAGGACTGAGCAAATCACACCAAAGCAATGCAAGACTTATTAGGGAATCTTAATTTGGGTGCTGTCCTCACAGGTGGACAGTAGCTCCAGTCTCTGAGGAGCCTCACGCTAATCAGCAGAATTTTAAAACTGCTTTGGCTGGGGGTCCCATCTGCAGTATTAAAAACAGTCACAGCAGGAAACAGCAACATTGAAGTACCGGACACAAATGCTCAAAAGCTTCCAACTCTTGGACAACCTGTTTCCCGCAGTAACAGTTTTAACACAATTTTGTATTTATAAATATCTGTGTGGAACTGGATTTCAAGAACTTAACATGCTTTGAAGGCCACAGTTACCCTAAATTATGTGTACTAAGTCCACATATCACTTCGCTACTGACCGTGCAGCAAAATGATGCTGACTGCCTTTTCTGGTTTGTGCCCAAAAGACTACCTGCAGGTTTCAGAGCTCAGTGCCAGCATGGTGATGACAACAGGTCATGTACTTTGGGTTTCTGTACCAGATAAGCACCAAGAACCAGGTTACGTGGCCCACGCCTCAGGCATTCTGCCACCAGACCGAGCACCTGCCCAGCCTAGTACAGTGCTCATCTGTGGAGAAGTTCTCTTATGTACCCTGGACACCAAGGGTCATCTCCAACTGTTGGTCACCACAAGGTTATCAAACAGGAGGGAGGTAAGGCCCATAAGCATTATCTGGATGTATGTCCATTTAGATGATATCTGCCAGCAATTCCCATCCATCAGAGCATGAATCACTTTTCTCCTTTTCCATCCAGCAGTTGACTTACACAGCTTGATTTGCCTCAGAACCTACAGAGAACTCCTCTAGACGTCAGCAGCCAAAGTGCCTCGAACGGAACCCTTCTTACGCATCTAAACGTAAAATAAAACCGTGAGCTACCACATAAAGAACCTATTGTGCTGTTGGTTAGTAAGAGAGAAGTAACGATCTACATGACCAGGACTGCTTTTCCCTGGCCAGGACCAGGACCAGACTCAGCTACCGCTGAAGTTTTACTGGAGACAGGGTATACAGTATTTCTTTTTGGTGAGGAAGCCTGGGAACTGTACAGCAGCTGTAAATGATGCTGCTTAATTTTTTTAACAGCTCGTGACGCTTCAGCATGGAGCCACACTCCTCGAAATACCCAGTGTAGCATTTCTACCCTCACAAAGACATGAGGTAGGTCTGTCACAGTGCTTTGGCAGGGTACTTTTCTACTATGCACTGATTAATTGATGTATATTTAATGAAGCATAGGTGCTCCTCATCTCCAGGAGTCAGATACATAAACCAGTAAGTGAAAGATAAAGAAAAACAGTGAGAAAAGCATGGGCTAGGATAGAGAAACTCTGGAAGAACACTGATGAGGATTCAGAGAGTAACAAAAGAGTAACAAAAGCAGAGATCCTGACTATAAAAATAAAGTTGAGACAAAGAACAGGACCAACAAAAGAACTGAAATGTGCACAGAATCCAAAGAGAAAGACTAGTTCAAACCAGGAAGAAGAAAGGGTGTTAATGAGAAAGGGAATAGAAACAGAAAGCAATGTATGTAAGAAAACAGAACGCTGCCAATATTATTAGGCTTGCTTTCTGCTGTTGTTTGTTTTTAAGCATCATAGAACTGCATGGTGCAACACTGTCAAAAAAGCCGACTACTTCTCTGCGGGGATGGAAGCATAAAGATATTCTTGTCATATTAAGCACCTTATCACTAAGCGCTCACTTCCCAGAGGTCCTGGCCATAAAACAAATGTTTCCTGGTATACATGGGATTTAACGAAAGTTACTGTTTAGCACAATGGATGAAGTAGTTGAATATGAGACACAAAACCAAATTATTCGGGATAAAATTAGCATTCATATTTTATTTGGCAGTGACATTTGTGCCTTTAGGTTATTCTCCAATAACGCACTTCACCACCAAAACCTTGAAATTGCATCATTTATAGGTGTTTGTAGATACTCCTATTATAACAGTTGAGAAAAAACAAAATATTTTAACAGTAGGTCCCCACTCCTCTCACAGTTCACAATACACATAGAAGAGCTGTATTGATTAGTTACACTAACACATTTCTCTTGTGAAAAACTGACTTTTTCAACAAGTAATACACTTAAGTTCCTGATGGTAATGTCTTATGCAACAAGCTATTTGAAATAAACTATTTGCATTGCTTTGCAAAGCAAGAAAATAGTGAATAGATACGTTTGATATTTAAGAAAGAGGACAAGTGTTACACCCAGAAACACATGATCCGGGTTTTGCTTAAGATAAGAACTAAAAAGCAGAAATATTTTGAAAAAATATTTAAAAGAAGTTACTTACCAGTGAGAAATGTGAACCAGACCTTTCTCTAAAAGACAACAAACATCCACAGTCCACAGAGACACAAAAGGGAAATTTTCTCATCCACACAGATGTGTCAAGTGCTGCTTACTTTCTCCAATACATACCTTTGTATGCACTCCTCACACTGCCACTATCCTTTCTCAGAGAAATTGGATGAAGTCCATTTCATTCCAAATAAAAGAACTATGGGTGTGCAAAAGAGAACGCTTCTGACAAAAATCGGTTATAGAGAGGAAAGTGGTTACTCTTCCTCCTTCACAGACACCTAGGAATAGGTTGCTCTAGGAATAGGTTCTGGCATAAAGTAGAATTAAAGAAGAAATCCACATGATTTGAGAGAACATCTGCCATAATAAAAAATATCCCAATGCCAGTGAGAGAGCAACAATGTTTGCAAGAATGAGTGAACATCATTCTTTTCCAAAGCATATTCTGGGAACTGCCAAAGCAGACAAACCCCCCAGTTTATTTGAAAAGAAAGTTTGGATTTGCCAGCTCATAACACCTACCTATTAACACACAGAACAGTGAAGAAACACTTCTTCCAAATCCAGAAAACACCTCTACACAATGCAAGATGATTCCACACAGTTTGTAAAGTCCAAACATGGAGAGCATAACAAGTAGGGATGGAGGAGCTACAGCTAGTTTCGGTACTAAAAGAAAACATGTGCTAGGCACAAATCACAAAACGCACTTCAGAACCACTTCAACAGTAGGTCTAAAGCACCAGGCAATCTGTTTAAAGATGTCTGGCAGCTGAAATGAGTGAAACCATGCAAAAACGCAAGTTGTAGCTGAAGACACATCATGTCTTGAAAGAACCAAGACAGTGGAAGGGAAGTGACAAGCTGAATGGGTTTGGGGCATAAAGCAGTTGGCAAAACGGGAAGGAAACAGAATTGTGAATCCAAATACTGCAAAGAACTTAAAAAAACAGCAGGATTCAAAATGAGAAAGGTTTGTGCCAAAGGTCATGCTCTGGAAAGACATTACAGAAGGAGTAATTACTTAAAGGAATGAGTAGGGAACTATGGACGAGTGTTCTTCTAGACATCAGTCCAAAGACAGATCAGGCTATATGTATTTGGTCCTCATAGCCACTAAAACATGAAAATTGACACTATCTCAAGCCCATTCATTTTACTGACTTCCTTTTCGCAAGTAAAATTCTCAGTTTTGGTGTGCTAATCAGGATGAGTGGAACTGCTGTCATGTGACATATACAAGCTTGCTTGAAGACATGTTTGAAGAGAAAAAAAATAATCAGATCTAATGATAATTAGAAATTAAACAAAGCAAGACACATGATGGAAAAGCAAGATGACAGCTCTGGATTCTAACTGACAAGTGGTAAAAGGGCACTGAATGGGACTTTGTGCAATGGGTATGGTACCATAGGTGGTCAGCACAGACATTCTGGAATTAGTGACATCAGAAATATTTACCTTACAGCCACTTCCAGCTTCACACAACACAGTATGCAGAAGCTTGAAGTGCATGGGTCTGCACAGGAGAATCACTAAAGGGGCTGTAACGTCCACCAGCAATTGCCCAAACACACACAAGGGGATGGACACAACGTAACTTGCGTCAATTCCCAAACAGATAAATCTACAGGTAGATAGCACACAAAAGATCAACCTTAAAAAAAGCATTCTTACCGCTTCCAGCTCCTTTTGGGTTTCATCTTCCATTCTCCTAATGTCTTCCATAGTCAGATCAATCCACTTGTCAATCCAACAGAACAGCTGGCGATGAAAGTTGGTAAATATCCTTTTTTCTTGCTTTAAGAAGATAAACAAATATTAGATAATAGTCCTACTTTTGCCAAAGACTGGTGAAGTGATTGCAGCTGTTCAATTTGAAAAGTATAATCTTTAGGCACACGCTGTTTCACACTGCTACAGGTTCAGCCCCCGCACATTCCTGGATCCAATTTAAAGTCATCTAATTTCTCACATGCTTTAACATGGAAAAAAATGAACAAATTTCACTATCAAAAAAAAGTTTCAAGAAAGTTCAGCAATTCATGTCACTTGAAAATACTGAAGAATCCTTTTAAAATCTGTTCTAGCCCCAAGATAGCTCTAGACAGAATAAACATAGCATCGCAACAGCTAGAATATTTAGCAGGAACTGTACAAAAATCTACGACAGAACTGTTGCAGGTTCTGTGCTCACTGTTAAAAAAAGAACGGCCAATTCCTAAAGCCAGAAAGAAGCAAAAAGGGAAGTACTTCTGACTCCAAAGATGGCACGCTTGCAATTTGTACCAAATCAGTAACCCAGTAATATCTGACACACAATGTCGAAGGTTCAAAACCTTGAGAGTATAAATATTCAAGCTAAGGATTCTACAGCCCTTGCCTTAAGGTACTGTGTTCTGAACAAAAAAAGAATATTTTCACTGTACCTCTTCTACTTAAATTGGTAGGTTTCACATTTCAAAATGCTTGCCATCCTCAAAATCGCACTATGTTATGTTGAAGAACTGCAACTTGCCAGCTCAGTCCGTCTCCAGTGCCCTGGAATTTCATCTTTTATAATGGTAACTCGGATGATGAAAGATGCATCATATCAACCATTCACTCTGCAGAATTACCAGTATTGCTTCCAACTGCTCTGATAAAAGTAGTCATGTATATACAACACCAAAATCTGTTTTACTACTAAAACTCAGACTTCTGCATGTATTCAGTTACCCAGGTTGCCACCTAAAGTTCACGTCTTGTTCATCTGCGCCCAGACTTTGCATCACTCAAGCTGCTGACTGTCCTCAAAAATAATGCTGATCAAATCTAACACACAGTTCTTGATAACTAGCAGACAGAGGTAACTTCCTCTAATGAATCAGCTTCAGGTAAAAAGGTGGGAAAAAAAAAAAAAGTTGTATCTTCAAATACTCCTCATCAGACCACAGAATCAGTTTTGGCTCTTCTGCTCAGCTTACTCCCTAACAGTGTTCAGTTCGAAATGTGTGATGGGTAACTCCTTTCCAAAACCACCACCACCCTAGAGACAGTATCCAATGTCTCCTTACCCTTAACTTTGGACTGTGGTCATCACAAACTACCTTCTCCACCTCATTTTCAATTACTATTGTTTGAAGCTTTTCGGTTTTGCTATCGTATTTCTTGAAATTCATGAACATTTAATGCAGTTAGCTGTGTGGGCCAATCAGAGCTAAGAGCCCTGGTCACCACAATGAAAAAGCTCTGGCGTTGGTTGTTGGTGAGGAAACACCATGGCCAACTGCTACTCGAATGTGATGTTTTGGTTAACTCACTGTTACAGCACATTTTCTCTGGATAGGAGAGAACTGGCATGATGGTCTAGATTAAACACTTTGCCTACACATAAGTTTACATTTAAATATTTAGTCATACTTTAAAAAATAGTTTACAATTCACATTCTGATGATACAGCAGTAACAAAATAAGATGCAAACATAAATTGTCAAAACACCACAGTTGCCTGGTGCACTGGATTGTACCTGCATCACACCTGGTTTTACAAGCATTCAATTCCAAAAAAATCAAATAGTTTAGAACGAGCAGAAACACAAGAACAGTTTCCTAAGAAAACTAGAATGTAAAATACTAGAGAAACACCAGCACATGACTTATGCAACTTTCAATTTACAAGAAAAAAATAATCACTCTTCCTGCCAAGTGTTTTTGTTTACAAAATCAAGAGTTAAAGCTACACGACATAGACTCCTTGCTTATACCTTTGCTTTTTTAACTTAGAAAGTTATTCTAGTACCACCAATGAAACACCACTGCTGGTAGATCCAGACACAAAGGGTTGTACTTGCTGAAGAAATGAACAGAAAACGCTTGACTGTGAGCAACAGGAAACTTCATCAGCGTTTCTCCTCAAAAAACCCCCACATCAACACAGAACCACCCTGCCTACCTACCTGCCCACCTCCAACCTCACCTCCCCAGCAACATCCCAGCAAGGGAGAAGCACTTACCTTTTGTATAAAGTTTTCAACTTTGTTCTGCAGTCCCCACCATTTAAATTTGATAGTCACCAACTTGTAAGCACACATTTTAGGACACTCTTCATCAGTTGCTAGCTCTTTCTGTTTATAGATAATGGGAAGGAATTTTTAATTTTTAAAAAAATCTACTTCAGTCAATTTAATGTAATTATTAGAAATTATAGCTCTAAATATATTAGAATCAGAAATTACATTATTAATTTATAGTAAATTATTTTATTATATTTATAAATTATAATTGTATATATTACTAGAATTATAATGATACTTAAAATTCCAAGTATTAGTAAATACTTAGCACTGTAGTCTGAACATAGGGTAACAGAGATTAACATACAATGAGATTAAATCTGTAAGATGCAAACATCTTAGTCTTAACATGGATTTCATCTTCATGATTTCCACTGTAATATACTTTCTGACATTTTGAAAGGACAACGAAGGTTGATTACAATATCTACCACCAAATTATTTTTGTTTCTTACTTTTGGGTCTATTGCGCAAAGGCAATTATAATCCGAGTTATAGCAAGCTGCTCAGTACAATGGTGGAACACATGCATACTAGAAAAGATTTAGATAACAAAAAGCACATAACCATCCCTCAAATTTACTTCTCCCAAAAGCATAACACTTAAGCTTACTGCACTTCTGCTCTGTCCATACAGACACTGGCATGCTCTCCCATCTCCCTCACATCCCTCTTCTGCAGATACCACCAGAAGTCTTTACCCAGGTGTAGAGATAATTTCTGGTTGTGGGGCATAATCTACATGTTCATTTTTCCATAATGAATTGCAGACCTTTTGACTGCTACTGAGAGAAAAATAGGGAGAGAACTTCCTTATCAATGGCAACAGGTGGCCGTGAGATCAACCAAAGCTCCACTTCAAAGACTGCTTGGAAGGAGCTTCAAGGACTTTGTGCAAAAGAAGGATCCTCAGAAGAATGAACTGAGGGAAATTCAGGAGACACTCACCACTGTATCCTATAATTCCTAGGTTTCGGTTATAATTCCTACATCCAAACAACTTTGAAGTACCTGTAACATCATACACGGTGATTTTCCTACAATGCAAATTTATGTAACACAAGACACCATATCATGTTTTTAGTTTAACAAAGCATGTCAGGTTACTCTAAGCCTTCTAAAAGAGGAAGGAAAAATAAGGAAGAAAAAAAACCACACAAAACCAAACCCAAAAAAAGAAGCCGATAGTAGCTTAAAAAAAAGTGTGTTTGGCTTGAATAATAAGCAATTACTATAAGAATTAAGCAGTCCACAGATTTTTTTTAATCTTTGCATCCGCAACAAACTTATAAGTAGAAATACTTTATGGCATTTTTAAGCCAGATTTCTTTTAACCATGAAATGGACAACTCCTGTTGGTTGTGCACACAGTAAAAAGATTTACTGAGATATATCTAACATATAAAAATCTTGGTGATATGCATATTTAACACAGAAGTTTTAATCACAAATACTCATCACCAGAGAGCACTTAAATGAAAACCAATTATCCTCAGAAGACTGATGTTCTATACACGAACTAAAACCAAAGTGCTGCTGTTCTTTGGTGTTCCCAAACAGCACAAGTCTAAGTCCAGGCGTTAGTAAGTGGACAGAACTAAATGGAACATACAAATTCATTGCCACCAGTTCCAGGCATTCAAAGTTCTCCTGCTCATTTTACAGCTGTTTTTTAAAAACAAACCAGTAACTCCCCACTTTCTTTGGGTCACAGAGGCCCAAACAAGCCAGTCCTGCATCAGCCTCCTGCTTCCTTCCTGAGCAGGAAGGAACAATAAACATATAAGGCAGGATGCACATTTTCAGCAGATTACAAAAATAATCCCTGTGACAATTTCACCCTGCTAGCAAGAATACTTAGCTCAGGTAGAAAGAGTATTACAATAATGAGTGCTTGGATACATGCCTCCCCTCATCGTCATCTCAAAACACACAATATGCTCATTTTTCCCTGAGATTCCAGGTAACGCTCAGGCCCAGAACAAACCCGCAAGTCAGACCAAAGGTCTACCTGGCTCAGTATTTTGACAACAGCTAATGGCAGAAACCTATGTAAAAATACAAAACCCAAGGAAGAAAATATTGATAATTCACTTAGAAACTCTGCCAATCTCCAGCTACTTATAAGCTGAGAAACTTTCTGAAGCAGAACTATTTTCTGTCTTTGGGCACACAAAGGGAAGAATTAAGATTGTATAGATTGCAAAAATCACGGCACTGCTGAGGTTGGAAGGGACCTCGTCACCTACAGGAGGTTACCAGCACTGCGTCCAGTCAGGTTTTGAGTATCTCCATGGATGGAGGCTCCACAACCTCTCTGGGCAACGTGTTCCAGTGTTTAACCACCCTCATAGCAAAAAAAAAAAAAAGAAAAAAGTGTTTTCTGGTGTTCAAACAGAATTGCACATTACTTTTGTGTCTGTACAATTGGACTGTCACAGGATAGACTTTCGTCATGTTGAAAAGACAACATTAGGAACAGCTACGGCAACACCAATTAGGTCAGTGATATACATTGACTGCATCCTCAGCTCTCATTAAGACAAATTAAAATACGTGGAGCACCCAAGAGGTAGCTTCGCAAGCTTTTCTTCTGGTAATGCAGCATAACAGCAGTGAAGCGTCAGCTTCAGCAGCCCACACCCTTTCTGCTCTGCTGAAACCTTCAACGGTCTTGTTACGGCTCTCTGTGTTGCCATACTGTTTCCCATCCTCTCACAAAAACCTGGTTTCCCCGCCACCC